GAGATCTTTTTTTAATCTGCAGTTTCTCATTACAGAAGGTAGAATGAATTACTAGGATCTCACAAAGATATTTCTTTCTAAGTGTTCCTTTGCTAAAGAGTGTGAAGGAGACCATCAGTGAACAAGAGATTTCAAAAAATATTTAGAAGATAGAGGCACCTGATGGTTCAGTCGGTTGAGTGTTCGGCTCTTGATTTTGGCTCAGGTCATGATCCCAGCATCATGGGATGCTGAGTATGGAGCTTGCTTAAGACTCTCTCTTTCTCCCTCTGTCCCTCTCCCCTGCTAGTGCTCTCTCTCTCTCTCCCTCTCAAATAAATGTTTATAAATAAATAAATATTTAGAAGCTAGAGAGCATATGGAAACACACAAAGGGCACAGTGGTGGCCAGAAGAAATGGAAGAGGCAGCTGAAGTGGAAAGAGGAGCTCATTTCTGGAAGGAAGATGAGCTCTTATGGGCAGAGCTGGCAGGCATAGGGGGCAGTGAGAAAAAGCCTTCTGTCTTCTGCTCAGTTCTGGAGCTAAGGTAACCCAACTTTAACCCCTGGAGGGAGTCTTCCCTGAAAAGTTAAATTCTGGATAATGCTGAGATTTCATGTATCATGAAATACATGGTATTGACATCCCAAAGAGAACCATCTTTATCCCAGTATTTGAGGGGTCTGCACTCCAATATGGCTCCTGCCAACTCAATCTTGATAGCGTACATATATAAATGGACAACGGTTGGGTGTATATAGATTTTCAACCCATTATCTGCAGTAAGCAGCTCAGAAAGCCAGCCTGCTATCTAAATTAAACTTACAGGAAGTTAGGCCGCTATTTTAACAACCAGCCCAGGAAGCCAGCCAATTACCCAGTTAACAATTGGCCCCAACAGGCAGGACTTGATTAACGAGTGACAGCTTTCCTACTTTTTATCCCTGTTTCCAATGGAGGATCTCCAGAGAAAGCCAAATACACATTATTAACCAACCACCTAGGATGCCCCGCTTCCAGTTAGCCTGCCTACAGCTTCCCCATGCCAACAGCCCCCATTAGGGCATACCTGAAGTTTTCCCCTTCAAAGCTTTTGGGTGTCTGCCAGAACTCAAGTGATGGTGACTGACCGCCTCGTTACAGCAAGCTCTGACCAAATAAATTTGCTTGTTCTCATTTACTTCCATATTCAGAAGGTGCCTGCTAGCCAATAAGCCTTCCCCCATATACCCAGAACTCCCCATCAGCTTTGCTCTTCAGGGGCAAGAAGAGGCACAGATATAACCACAGGACACCTATACCAGCTAGCTAGAAAAATGAACCCAGCCTGTCATTCTTAAATATGGATACACAGCCAAGGTCACCAGACATAGAACCAGCAGCACACAGGGGAAGATTAAGATAAACAGAGCAGATTGCCCTTGGAGGAAATAGGTCATTCAGACACTAGGGGGGAAAAAAAAAAAAAAAAGACTTAACAAAAATTCTGATTAGAGCTTCAGTGAGAGTTGAGAAGATATTACATCCATAAAACCAAAAACAGCAGGCTATGAAGAACAAGGGAATAAAAAAAAAAATCTCCTGGAAATTAAAAGTGAATTTCCAAAATTAAAAAGATTGGAGGATCAAGAAACTAACCACACAGAGAGCAAAAAGGTAGCCTGTGTGGCAGAAAAGATAAGCCACATTTGGAACTTCTTCATAGGCTGAAATCCAGAAATGGTTCCAAAGTGGGTACCAAGGGACTGGCTGGCTGGGGCTGTGTGGTTCTGTGTTAGAGATCCTTTGACCTGTGTTTTAGCCACATGCATAGATCACTCTGATTAAAGCAAATCAGTTAACTGCAAATCTGATCATTCCATTCTACTACTGAAAACTATTACTCTTCTAACCACTTATGGGGAGAAAGCTTAGTCCCCATTTCCTGCTCATAACCTGCCATAGCCTGTGCCCTTCCCCTCTCCCTCCATTCCCCACATTTGCTCCAGCCCCACTTGCCAGGGTATTCTGTATAAGCCTCATGAGCTGAGATTGTGGCGTCAGACTTACCTGGTTTCAAACCACATATGTCTGACCTAATTTGGAAGATGGGGGGGCACCTGGGTGGCTCAGTCTGTTGAGCATTCGATTTCGGCAGGGTCGTGATCTTATGATTCATGGGTTCAAGCCCTGAGACGGGCTCTGTGCTGACAGCTCAGAACCTGGAGCCTGCTTTGGATTCTGTGTTTCCCTCACTCTCAGCCCCTCCCCTGCTCATATTCTGTCTCTCCCTCTCTCAAAATAAATAAACATTTAAAAAAAGGAAAGAAAGATGGGTGTGAGTGTGGCTCTCAAAGCTTTTGGAGCCATCAGATCAGCTAATACATGTTAGTAGCTTAAGAGAGCCCCAGGCACAGAGTAAGTGATCAATATATACTAACAGTTATTAGGGTTCCCAGGACTAGTCTTGTTTTGGCTGTTTTAACCCTACTTTATTTTTATATTTTTACCTAAAACTCCTTTTTAAGAAGTCATTAAACTTGGGGTGCCTGGGTGGCTAAGTTGTTAAGTGTCCAACTTTGGCTCAGGTCATGATCTCACAGTTTGTGGGTTCGAACCTGCATTGTGCTCTGTGCTGACAGCTCGGAGCCTGGAGCCCACTTCAGATTCTGTGTCTCCCTCTCTCTGTGCCCCTCCCCTGCTTGCGCTCTATCTCTGTCTCTCAGAAATGAATAAATGTTAAAAATAAAAAGTCATTAAACTCTCAGCTTTATTACCACACACATACCCTCAGACACTTCATTCAGTCCTCAGGTTTTTCTTTAGATGTTTATTCATTTTTGAGAGAATGAGCAAGGGAGGGGCAGAGAGAGGGGAGCAGAGGATCTGAAGCAGGCTCCATGCTGACAGCAGAGACCCTGATGCAGGCTCGAACTCACAAACCATGAGATGACATGAGGCAAAGTTGGACGCTTAAGCGATGGAGCCACCCAGGTGCCCCCAGTCCTCAGTTCTTAAGAAACTTTACCTAGATGTGTTTTTGAAGCCACAATTTATTGACTCATTTCAGAGCAAGTGAAATTCCTGCTTCAGATAGTTAAGTGCTTTAGGGACCGCCTGATTTTCATTCAGCAATTTTTTCCTAGGTTTTTTTCTTTTTAATGCTTATTTATTTTTGAGAGAGTCAGAGAGAGAGAGAGAGAGAGAGAGCGCGCGCACAAATGGGGGAGGGGCAGAGAGAGAGGGAAACAGAATCGGAAGCAGGCCCCAGGCTCTGAGCTGTCAGCGTAGAGCCCGAATGGGGTTTGAACCAATGAACAGCAAGACCATGACCTGAGCCAGAGTCAGAGGCTCAATGGACTGAGCCACCCAGGCGCCCCTTTTATTTCCTGTTCTTAACGAAGTGACCCTTTTCACTGGGGCTCAGACAGCACCCCCTTCGTGAGGACCCCCAGCCCAGGCCCTGTTCTTGCTTGGTCTCCATTGCTAGCATCAGTCTCCTACTCCAGACTCTGAGCACCTCACGTAGGAGGACCGTCCTCATTGGTGTTAGAACACGAGTGCCCTGCCTGTAAGAGGTTCTGCTCAGTGAAGGAGCACAGTCAGGGGAGGCGTGGGAGGAATGGGGGTAGAGTTTAATGGACCAGCAGGGCTTGCTGGTGTGTGGTGAGAATGAGTAATCGTCAGCAAAATCAACTACCTCAGATGCAGACCTATTAGAAACCTTCTTTGTCAAAGAAAAGGTTGTAGGGAAGGCACCATCTGTGCTGAGAAGCTGCTGGGCTTCAGCCTCCAGAAGGTGCTAAGTGGGCAGGTTAGCCGCCAGTCCACTTCCAGAGAGGACATGAAGGCTGCCCCGGTGCCCCTTCTTGAGTTCAGTTCTGACTCTTATTCTTTAGGGGCTGGCACTGCCCGAGAGGCACAGACTAGATCCCCACAAACAATGGCACTGGCTTTTTTTTTTTTTTTTTTTAATTTATTTTGAGAGATGGCAAGCAAGCAGGGGAGGGGCAGAGAGAGATGGAGAGGGAGAAATCCAAGCAGGCTCTGCATGGTCAGTGCAGGGCCTGACACAGGGCTTGATCCCACGAACCGTGAGATCCGTGAGATCAGGACCTGAGCTGCAATCCAGAGTCTGACGCTTAACCGACTAGGCCACCCAGGCACCCCGGCATTGGCTTTTTCCTCTTTCTTTTTGTAAGTTAAAATCAAGGGGGTCCAACTCCCTCATTCGTCTCAGGGGAGAGGGAAGCAGAGACAGTCTTAAATAAAGGCCAAAGGACCTGCCAAAAGTCACACAGAAAGTGGTAGAACTGGATTAGAGCTCTGCCTTCTGAATTTCCAGAGCAGCGTGTTGTGATTCTGGGGTTCATCAGGACAGGAGACGCCTAAAGCAATAGAGGCAGTGGCTTCAGCCTTGCATCCACAGTAAAGACGATGGTCTGGGTAGTCCTTACCCTGGCTTTGGGTCTTTTGTAGGCTGTACTGCTCCCAAAGCAAAAGACGTTGTGAGTCTTCCCCCGCCCCAGGAGGTGTTGCGAGGATAGGAGAAGGCCAAGCACATGTCAAGCAGCTAATGGTTATTAGTTAAGTAGCAACCAACGTTGAGACTTCAGTGCAGGAGGCAAACGGACTCCCTCTTTGGACATTGACTCCCTGACCGTAGAGCTAGGAGAGAGTGGGTCCCACAGAGAGAAAGGGAAGCTGCTGTTTTATTGGGAGCACCATTCGCTCTGCCAGGGAAGGGGGTGGGCAGGCACTGGAGGAGAGAGGCCTGGAGTCCCACCTCAGAGACCCCGACTCCAGCCAGCCATAAAGGCAGGAGGGGGCAGGTCACATTGACTCTCCCAGCCCCTGAAAGCAGAGCAGAGAGGTGGAGGGGGGGCCTAGCTCCGAGTGTTCACGGCTTGGGCACCAGCGACAGCCTCAGCGTCCCTACCAAACCCCTGGCCTGCTCTGCTCCATTAAAGGAAGGACCCAAGGGAGGAGGCTGCCACGGCTGGCCTGACCCATAGCCGGGGAGGGGGGGGGGGCTGGGGAGGGCATAGGAGTGTGGGAGGGAGAAGGGGCTTTTAGGATAGGAATGACAGGTACAGAGAGAAGGCCAGGAGACTGTAGGAGACTTCCCAGGGTGGGGCAGTGCTGGCAAAGAGGCGGGCCACGGCCACATTGGGGTTGTCCTGGGTGGGCGCAAACCACTTCTGCAGGCACCGCCCACTGTTCCTGCCCTCAGGGCTTGCCTTGAATGAGTTGCTCCAAATCTTCTCGCACAGGTCAGCGGGGGTGGGGAAGTAATAGGGGAAGGGGTGGCAGACGGCCCTCGCAGGGCAGCGGTTCTTCCCTGGGAGGGAGGCGAGGGGGGCGGGGGATTGAGGCACCAAGTTACCTCCCAAGACTCCCACCCTCACATCCCCATCCTTTGCCCTAGGGGAGCATAGGGAGCTCGCGCTTGCTGCCAGGTGGGGGCCCTGTCAAGCGCCACTCACCCCGACTCCAGTCCCAGTCGCCGTGCCAGTTGGACTTGCACGTGTAAGATGTGCGACAGTCTTCCCACCACTGCTCGCAGTCCTCCTGGCAGAGTGGCACATCCAGGATTCGCTCTCCTGGCCCAGCCAAGTCCATCTGGATGCAGGCATAGCAAGAGACAAGAATGCTAATAGCCAGGATCCAGAGATGATCAGTAGCTACAATGGTACTCTGCCGGTTACCATTGGAAGATACGGTACAGACTCCTAGATACTGACTCCTAGGACGTCTGTAAGCATTCCTTTACAAATGAGCACAATGAGGGGCGCCTAGGCGGCTCCGTCGGTTAAGTGTCCAACTCATGATTTTAGCTCAGGTCATGATCTCACAGTTCATGGGAGGGAGCCCTGCATCGGACTCTGCACTGACAGCAGGGAGCCTGCTTGGGCTTCTCTCTGCCCCTCCCCCCACCTCTAAATAAATAAATAAACTTAAAAAAAGAAAACCAATGAGAACAATGAGGCTACGGAGGCTGAATGGTTTGGCCCCAGCTACACAGCTTCCTACATACAGGAGATGGGATTCAAAGGCAGCAAGACCTTGGATTGCGAGTGACTTGTTCTGCGAGTGTTCCGCAAGACAAGGAAACGTTTCTAATAAATTTTAACTTGAGAAACGAGTGATGCCCTGCAATATGAGTAGTACATGACATGGAATGTCACATGACCACAGCTGAGCCAGTGGTTCTTGAAATTCACTTTGATATACAAGTGCTTTGGATGGCAAACATGTTTCCAGAATGAATTATGCTCACAAGCCAAGGTTTTAGTGTCGTCCCTTATCCTAAAGTTCTCATTGGTGCTCCCCTATGCTGCTCTTTGGGGCCCAGAGGTGGCTTTCTCTCCACTTTTTTCCCCAACCCAGCTTCTGACTGTGCTCTGGTCCGTAGGGGGACAGCGTGTCCTGCTCCTGCTAGCATCGTGGACCTCAGGCTCTTAGTAACAGGGCACTGTGTGGATGTGCCTCCTGCCTCCCCAGCCCAGCCTTCTGACCTTCCGGATCCAAGGTCCCAGGTTTGGGGAGCACTCATAGAAGCAGATAGCCTGGATGAAGTGCTTCTCACAGCCTGGCATCATCAACCCACAGTGAATCAAGCTGAAGTTGTAAAGCAGGGACACATCGAGGTGGGCTTCCCAGCTTGTGCTGGCCGTGCAGCAGGCATTGTCTTTCCAGGGGGTGCACTGAAGGTGGAGGAAGAAGCAAAAGGCACGGGGTTGGATAAGAGGCAGGAGACGGAGGAGTGTCCAGGGCAGAGAGGCAAAAACGTCCCCTAGAAGAGGGCCTGGGCAAATGGGAGGACTTCAGGCCAGCAATGCCCATCTAGAAGGAATGGTGATACTATGTCAATATTTGTAGCCAAAGGGCTCCTGCACACCAATCTCCCTGCCACAGGCTGATGCCATTCCCTAGAAACAGGGCTTCTAGGATCTCAGCTCCTAAAGGCAGCAGAGGAACCCCACAAGACCCAGAGGAGTGTGGGGCTGCCCTGGATGGGAGGGCACTAGAGTTGAGAAGAGCTTATAGGTAAAAGTCAGCTCCACGACTCCTCCTGTGTCCCTGTCAGTTGCCTCTAGGGGTCTGGGGAGGAGTCACCTGAGTCATAAGTCTCCCCAGTGCCTATGGGTAGCAAGGCTAAAGAAGGGGGACCTGGGGCGCCTGGGTGGCGCAGTCGGTTAAGCGTCCGACTTCAGCCAGGTCACGATCTCCCGGTCCGTGAGTTCGAGCCCCGCGTCAGGCTCTGGGCTGATGGCTCAGAGCCTGGAGCCTGTTTCCGATTCTGTGTCTCCCTCTCTCTCTGCCCCTCCCCCGTTCATGCTCTGTCTCTCTCTGTCCCAAAAATAAATAAACGTTGAAAAAAAAAATTAAAAAAAAAAAGAGAAAAAAAGAAGGGGGACCTGGTTTGTTTGAATGTATGCTGAACCAGTGATGGTTCAGTATCTTGGATCACTATCTGCCCCTGCCCCTGTCCCCCAAGTGGCCAGGCAGCTCAGGTATGGGGACTTGGAAGCACTCAACAGTTATGATCTCAAAAGGCCAAAGTGTCCCTCCAGTGGTCTTTGCCCAAATCCCAACATAAGGAACCAAATGAGTGAGTGTTGGTGATGGTTCAGAAGCCATCTTGGCATTTGTGTCCCTTCCCTGATCTGCCACAGCAGCTTCACTCCCGTCCCCAGGCAAGGTCTGGCCTTTGTACCTCATCGTAGAGCTGGTCTTCTGGGCCAGGCTCTCGCTTGTGGTGTTTGGTGTTCATGCAGACATTGAGCAGCTCGTCCCCAGCCCAGATGGGCACGACTGTCCACAGCCGTAACACGAGCTGCCACCACCGTCCCATGGCCTACTGCAGAGAGGAGACCCACCTGCTTGTGTGATAGACAGGACGCCCGCTCCATTCTCTCTACTCTCCCAGGGAGTGAGTATGGGTTTCAAGGCTCCCTCCCTCAAGTGATTATGACACTCTGGCTGCCCCGAGGACCTCTATCTGAGGCAGCATCATAAAACGTCAGGGCAGGTGAAACAAACCTGAGAGTTCTGATGCCCACCCCCAACGGATGCACAGACACGTGAGTGAAATCCCAGGAAGAGGCCAGCCCTGAGGTAAGGGAGGGTCTGGTGAAATGGCTCCAGCCTGCTCTGGGGAGCTTTTCTTGGTCCCTCCCCTTCCAAGGCAGACTTTCCAACTCCATGACATACGGGCTGGAATTCAGAGCTTTAATTCTGGGTGAGGAACAGAGCAAATCACCAGATTCTACAGGGGACAGAGGGCATGGTGGGACATGGTAGTGTGACAAGTGCAATCCTTACACCATCGAGAGCCAGCCGTGATGGCAGCCCCTCTGCCTCCACCAGCTCCAACCCATCACCAACCCTCCTGAGCAGGAGCCTGGGCACCCAGAGCCAGGGAGCATGCCCAGGCAGTCAGATGTGACGGCCTTGTGCACCCAAAGTCAGGTCCTCACCACAGGAGTGAGAAGGCTGACTTTTCCCTTGATGTTTGTTGAGCACTGTGTTTCCCACTCTGTTCTGGGCAGTGCTGGTAATGTGAGGGAAAGAAACGGGAGACAAAAAGAAGAAAGGCAGAAGAGCACCGTGTCTCAAGTGCCCAACACTTTGGGAAACAGGGCTCCCTCAGCCTTGACCCACCCAGGACCCCTTGGCTCCCACAGTCCCCCAGGCCTTGCAAGAGGGACCACGGACCCATCAGAGTGAAATTGAAAACCTCTGGCCTCACCTGAGTTTAGAGCATCAAGCAGGCTGGGGATGGAGACCCCGTCCCGCCTTCCAAGCCTACCCTCAAGTCCCAATCTGCGGCTGCCCCCCTCCAGTCTCAGGCATAGCTGCAGCCATCCCGTATCTTTAAAGAATCTGGTGCATCAGGGGAATTAGAGGAAAGATGCTCCTCCTTCCACTGCTTTCTTCATACTTACTTTCATAGCAGGAGCCGCTCCCTCCCACCTCCAGAGACTGGAGGCTGCCATCTTGCTCATTTATCACCCACTCCACTTCCTACCAGCCCAGGTGCAAATACAGAGCTCCAGGTGGCTCCGGTTAAACACATCCATCTCACCGAGGTGAAGGGGTCTTCTGTGGTTGGAGCCTGAGGCTTTCACTTACTCAGAGAAGCAGAGACCAGGTAGTGGGTAGGATCCCGGGCTCTCGTCGGCTACTGACTTCCGCTCTTGGCTCTGCTCCTTGCCAGCTGGATAACCTGGAGGAAATGCCAAACTCTCTAAGTTTTCCTATCTGTATAGAGGGCCGTTTTATAACAGAGATTGCTGGGGGAACGCAGTGAAAGAGAAAATACACCATACGGACTTGGCATCGTGCCTGGCACAGAGTAAGTCTTAGCGGCTTTAATTCTTTTCCTTTCTCCTGTGCAGTGTTTCTCGCCCCGTTCCGCAGCTCTACCTGCCCCTTTGTCAGCTAAGGTACCTGGGATGCACCCTCTGGTGGCCTGAGTAACAGTGACCTCTGTCAGCCCACAGGAGCTAAGGTTCCTGCCAGGGAACAGACACAGCAGCACAGTGACCCAGAGATAAAGTGGGACCTTGGAGACCCAAGAATTTAAAGGTGTGACCAAAGCCCAAACTAACAAAACCAAAAAAGTCCCTCCACAGCCCACAGAACTGTCTCCCCTAGCATGCAGAGACCCTGTCCTGTGAAATATTCTGCAAGTGTCCTCAGCAGTGATGATGCACACAAGAAAGTCCTTCTTAACAAGGAGAGGCTGGGAAACTGGGACAGGACTCTTGGGAGAGTCTCAAAGGTAATGAAAATGCTGGAAAAGGAGCCCCTCTCCTTGCCTGTTTCTTGAACCCAGTCCCCTCTCCAAGGGACAAGCAGCCAAAGTGGCTGACATGTTACCAACACATAGGAAATGAGAACAATAAAAGCGTTTTTATATTTGAGGGAAACAAAGCCCCTAGAAACGACCCCCAAGCTGAATGCCCTCCTTGATTTAACTGTGGGGAGGCTGAGGCTCAGCTGGGGAGTGGGAGAGCTAGGATCTGAACTCAGGTCAATACCCCATATCTGATGCCTAAGGACCAGCTGACGGGGGCAACCTCCAAGACTGAAGGGGTAGGTGCCATCCAGGTCTCAAGCGAAGTCTGTGTTTTAAAGAGTCAAATGCCACCATCAGATTGTGTGTTGGGAGACCTGTGCCAGCTTTATTTGGGAACAGTGATGGTTACCAGCCCAGCCTCCCGAGTCCCTGCCTTAAGCAGTTAGGAGTCCCCCTTTCAGGGTCCGATACCAAATAGTAACTGCATTTCTGAAGCCTGGGTCTCTTTCCACCGGCGTCCACTCAGCAGGGGCAGAGCAGACAGGCCTGTCCTGTTCAAGTCCTGACAAACACTCACGGGCAGTAAGCCTTGAGGAGGAAAGAGCATTGGGGTTTAACATTGAGTTGGCTGTAAACTGTGGACGTGCCAGGGACAAGAATCCAGAAATGAAGCGCAGGAGTAATTACTGAAATGTAAAACAGGTCCTCTGATAAACATTCTTCACGTGGAGGGAAGGAGGACGAGGAGGGGCTCGCTAACAGTCTCTAGGACAAGGCTGTAGGAAATGAGCTAAAATTACAGTCTGTGCGGGTTCCGGGGGAGGGAGGGATTATGGAGGCGGCCTCTCGGAGAACCATCAGGCCAACATCTGCTCCAGCAAAGAGGCAGTTAGCAGCCCTTGAAGAAAACTCATTTTTGCTCTATTGTGATTGAGTCTTCCAGAGAAATCTGTTTTGTAACTGAAAGCTGATAAATTAAAGCTGGCTGTGGATGAAGCCATTGAAAGCTGCTGACCCCAAACAATTTTGCTCTAAAGAAACAAAACAGAACACTTAAATTGATGAGAGCAGAGCAGCTCTCAGAAAGCAGCTCTCAGAGAGGTCTGACGGGAGGGAGAGCTGGGCAGGACGGCCTAGCCCTGAGCAGGCCACCACGCATGCACGGTAGGAGCCCCTCTCTGGGTCCCCCCCCCCACCCTGCTTGTGAGATCGCCCAAGGTGCCCAGCCCCACTGAGTTCTGAGAGCAGACTAAGGCAAGACTTCATGTCAGGAATCTCCTGGTGAGAATCTGAAGTCAGAGGCCAGCTGAAGGGGACATTGGTGATTCAGAGTTCTTAATGGGCCTCATGAGTTCTTCTTTTCACCCCAAAATCTACTGGCCATCTTTGACTCGACCCTTAATTGGTGTGTGGCTAAGGCAGGTTTGTTTATCTCTAGTCCTCCTTCCCTCCACATCCTTTCCATCACCAAACTGTTGATTTAGCTTCCAGAGTATCTTAAAAAATTTTTTTCTTTAATTAAAACTGAGAAAGAGGGGCGCCTGGGTGGCGCAGTCGGTTAAGCGTCCGACTTCAGCCAGGTCACGATCTCGCGGTCCGTGAGTTCGAGCCCCGCGTCGGGCTCTGGGCTGATGGCTCGGAGCCTGGAGCCTGTTTCCGATTCTGTGTCTCCCTCTCTCTCTGCCCCTCCCCCGTTCATGCTCTGTCTCTCTCTGTCCCAAAAATAAATTAAAAACGTTGAAAAAAAAATTTTAAAACTGAGAAAGAGGGAGAGAGAGAGAGAAAGGGTGAGCAGGGGAAGGGCAGAGAGACAAGGAAGAAGAGAGAATGCTAAGCAGGCTCTGTGATATCAGTGCAGAGCATGGGCTCCATCCCACGAACCGTGAGATCATGATCTGAGTCAAAATCAAGAGTTGAACACTTAACCGACTGAGCCACCCAAGCGCCCCCCTCCCGAAGGATCTCTTCAATTCAAATTCTTTTATCCCTGGTTCTTCCCAATTCCTGGGCTGCGACCACGCCTTGCCTCAATTACTAACTGGCTCCCTTGCCCCTTTCCAAAACCTTTATCCAAGCAGCGGCCAGAGTGATCTAATTTCCCAGTATTTTACTATGAAAGTTTTCAAACATAAGGAAAGTTGAGGGAATTTTACAGTGAGCCCCCATATAACCACGACTTTGATTTTGCCATTACCCTTTCGCTATATTTGTCCCACATCTAGCTAGCCTTCTGGTCATCCATCAGTCTTCCTTTTGGTCACCAACATCCTCCTAAATAATTTGTGCATCCTTATCATTAACCAGAGTTCAATATTTGCCTGCAGGTTTTTTCGCTTCAAATTATTTTTTTTAATGTAAAGATGATTAGGGGCACCTGGTTGGTTCAGTTGGTTAAGTGTCTGACTCTTAGGTTCAGGTCATCTGGGTTTGTGAGTTCCAGCCCTGTGTCCAGCTCTGTGCTGATACCTCGGAGTCTACTTGGGATTCTTTTTCCCTCTCTTGTCGGTTCTCTCTCTCTCTCTCTCTCTCTCTCTCTCTCTCTCTCTCTCTCTCACACACACACACACACACACAATAAATAAACTTTTTTTTTTTTAAAGAAGGTAAAGATTAAGCTACTCCCATGTTTAAAACCCACTAGGCTAGGGGCGCCTGGGTGGCGCAGTCGGTTAAGCGTCCGACTTCAGCCAGGTCATGATCTCGCGGTCTGTGAGTTCGAGCCCCGCATCAGGCTCTGGGCTGATGGCTCAGAGCCTGGAGCCTGTTTCCGATTCTGCGTCTCCCTCTCTCTCTGCCCCTCCCCCATTCATGCTCTGTCTCTCTCTGTCCCAAAAATAAGTAAACGTTGAAAAAAAAAATGTTAAAACCCACTAGGCTAAGTCCCAACCTTAACATGTCACAAGAACCCTGTTTAATTTGGTCCCTATTTACTTTTCCATGCTAACCTGTGGTCCTTTCTCTCACCTGCCTTGCAGGAAGTCCTCACCCCTCAACATTCCTAACTTCCCATCACTCTCCTTTGCCTGGCTGTTCTCTTAGAGCTCACTCTCTGTGACTGGTAACTCCTACTGGCCCTTTAGCTCAGAGGACAGATGGCTACTCAGGGAACCTGTGTGGTTCCCCCCAGGATTGGTGAATTGTTCTCTTGGGGTCTTATGCTTGTCACCAACGTGGAATTGACCACAGGAGTACTCACAGTACCAAACACAGTGCCTGGCCCAGAGTGACTAGTCAATACATGTTTGCTGAGGAAATGGGCAGAAAATACCTGCATAGAATAAAACTATCCACGCGCTTCCCTAGGATAACCTGACCTATCCTCTCTCCTTGCCCTTTCGTCTTCCCTCCCTTCCTTTATTCCATCCTCACCTGGAGTTTAAAATGACCTCTCGGGGCGCCTGGGTGGCGCAGTCGGTTAAGTGGCCGACTTCAGCCAGGTCACGATCTCGCGGTCCGGGAGTTCGAGCCCCGCGTCGGGCTCTGGGCTGATGGCTCAGAGCCTGGAGCCTGTTTCCGATTCTGTGTCTCCCTCTCTCTCTGCCCCTCCCCCGTTCATGCTCTGTCTCTCTCTGTCCCAAAAATAAAATAAATAAACGTTGAAAAAAAAATTTTTTTTAAATAAATAAAAAATAAAATGACCTCTCATTTTCTGTTCCCTGTCTTCTCTCCTCACCATCCTCTTTCTCTCCCTTCTCTCCCCCTTCTGGACCCCCTCCCCCTCCGACTTCCACCTGGGAACATCTACAGTTTCTGGTGAGTTCTGTGAGGTCTCAGTGCGTCAGTGCCCTTTCATCACCATGTGAAGAGACCACTTTCTAGGTCTAGCCACCACAAAAGGAAATGAGTGTGAAGCCTGTCAGTGTTGAAGAGAGTCCAAGTAGGTTGAAACAGAAAAGCATCAAAGTCCCACCAGAAAGTGATTAGCTGAAAACCGGAGTTGGAAGAAAGGTTTATCACAAAGAACAAATGTCTTTACTCGCCTACTTATTTCTCTTCTCAGGCTGCTGGATTCTTTTCCCTTCAACACGGTTTCCGCAGTGCCAGCGTCTCACTGTGACATCCAAACCAGGCTGCTGCCGGGCAGCTGGGAGATAGGTTTTAAGAAATAACTAAGGTTTGCAGTTTAAAATGTGCAGCTGAAATCAATACATTGTCTCTCTCAATCCTCCTGGCATCCCTCCCCGCAAATATCTCTTGACCTGAAGTTTCACCCCAGCTACAAACTCTCTCTCTCTCTCTCTCTCCCTCTCTTCCCAGGCTTGCTTCCTAAAAACACACCTGTGTGTGTTCATTGTGGCTTCTTTGTGTCACCTCACATTCATTTATGAACCATTGGTGTTCAGCTTCTGCTTGCCATCCCATGGCATCCACTCTTGCCAACTTCACTAACAACCTCCAAATTGTTCTATCCTAGTTGACCTCTCAGCTGCCTTTGGCCGACAGAATCCCTCCTACCTTCTTAAAACTCATCTCCTCCTTGATTCCCAGGGCTTCTCTGTGTCCTGGTTTCCCTCCAACATCTCAACTTGTCCCTTCTCCGTCTCCTTGGCAGGCTCTATTTCCTCTATCTGCCATTTAAGTGGGTTTTTTTGAACGCTCTCCTTGGGCCTCTTTTCTTTCTACTGTCCATACTCTCTCTGTGCAACCTTACCCCCAGTGTAGCTTCAGCGATCTGTCTCCTCTCTGCAGGTGACTCTTAAGTCTCTCTCCAGTCCTGACCTGTAGAATGGCAGATATGTGAGGGTGTCTACTGATCTATCTCCAGGAGTATTTTACTTGGATTTCCAACAGGCGCCTTATACTCCGTATGACCTGGTTGTTCTTAGCTCTTCATTCAATCTGCTTTTCTTTCTTGGTTACTGGGACCCTCTCCCTCTAGTCATCCAGGTCATGGTCCTGGAGTTATCCTGGACTCTTTTTCCTCTCCCACCTCATGCGAATCCTTTAACATGACACACAGAATTCTTCCTGGCCTGGCAATTGGCTACTGCGGAAGTTCCTCTTCCTCCCAATCCCATCCTCACCGGACACACTTGCCATGCTGAAATCCTTGCTGCTATCTGAATTTGCCCCTGCCCTGTACCTTAGCACCGACAGCTCCATCTGCCAGGAATGACCTTTCCCGGCTTCTTCACCCAAGTACTCTTCTCTTAGGGCTCCACTCAAGCAGCATCACCTCTAGGAAGCCTGCCTTTGCCTCTCCCTAGGTTAGGGTCCCTTCTGTGGACTCCCATAGGTTTCCATACTATTTTTTAGTATTGAGTTTATTACAAGGTAGCATAATCTTCTGCATTGCTTGCCTCCCTATGTAGATTTGGAGTTCCCTGAGGGTGAGGACTTTGTCTCCTCCTTTGGCTACTAGCCTCCAGCACAGTTTATGGTGTACGTAAGAGCCTCCAAATGTTTGAATAAATGAGTGAGTGGTATGTGCCACATCTGACGATCCACAGGGGCCTGAACTTGTATGTAGAACCCAGTCTTTTTGAGCCTGTGGACAGTGCTGTTTCCTCAGGTCCAGTTTCCAGCACCTGTCCCTTGGATGTTTCATCCCACCTGCCTACTGTATTTAAAATTGAAAATTTGCCTGAGAAAGCACAGACCTATGTGTAGCTCCTCTCAGAGGATCTTGAAACATTCCTAAATATGTTCGTTTAGATTGGGACAAATTCACATGGTTATAATACGTATGGTTTAGATGGTTTTGAGGTCCTGTCCAGGCATGGCTGCTTAGATCATGACTCTTAGCACCACTGTACTCTCCCTCCAGCTCCCCCCCCCCCCCATCTATGGGACGTGAGCCAATGCTGGTGTTAGCCTTAAAAGAGACAGGGGTCCCAAGCCCCAGCTAAACTGAACTATCTTTAATACTTTCAACATTCTGTGGTCACTCTTTCTCAGGTCTCTACACATGCTGTCCCCTTTTACTTGGGACCTTGCCCCTGTCCTCAACACTCTTAGTACTTCTCTTATCAGACACCTTATTTTTTAGGTCTCAGATGGGAGCGGTCCTCATTCAAGGAAGTCCAAGTCTAAGTTAGGTGTCCCTCCTGGCGCTCTCACAACCTGTGGGTGACCTCTCTTATGACGCCACAACTATCCCAGAATCGCCTGCCCACTTACATGTTCCCTAGTGGCCCGAAAGCTCCTAGACCAGTGGGGACTGT